AACCACCATCTGTTCTATCCTCCCCTCACCCAGGCAGGGTGGGAGGAGTTCCTTTACAACAAAATTTGCAGATATTTGTTAGTCAGTATTTTTTTTCTGATTAGACATATGTTCCAGTAGATTTACCTTTTGTAGCTGAGCTTATAACCAGTTTAATAAGAAATCTGACTGGTTCCAGTCTGATTGACGATCTGAATTTAGGTTTTAAGTGGGGTTTTTGTCTTTCTGATTAATCTCTGTTGTCTCTTAATTGTATATTAAAGTGTCCCTGTAGGTGCCATGCAGCTGTTTACTTTTGCAATATGTATGTATGTGTGTAGATTTACAGCTTTGAGTGACTGTCAAGCTCATTTTCACACTTTGGTTGGCTGATGACTGACTATGTTTAACTCATTTTTTTCCAAACTCTGTTACTCTCCCCTGCCCTTAATTACCTCAATACCCTCCTTATGTGTTAGTCAGAATAGTTGTGAGGCCTTAGTGAAAGCTTACAACCTGTGGACACTAGATGGGGATGTTTTCCTGCTGTGTGTATGCTGTGTGTATGCTGTTTTTTAATCTGACTCACTTCACATTTCTAGAAGGAGAAATTAGAGCAAACACTGATCAAAACCTGCTGAAGTCTCATTTTGTATGGGTAAAAGTACTATACAGTGATACAGTGTGTCTCTTACAAAATGTAGAAGTCCACATACAGACAGGCTAGGTAATAATTATTGAGAACATGTTTGTTTTTGTTTTTCTTGTTTCTTCCAGGTTAACCTGTACTCTGACCCACCAAATCCCAGCCACTGCGTTCAATCAGGACTAAACCGCGGTGCTTCAAAGTTGCTAAAATTAGATTTTCCTCGGGCTCAGAAACCCACGACAGATCAGGGTATCTTCATTTTATTTAATGGTTACTTCTTTGCTGCTAAATCTTGTATTAGTCAGTATCTTTAAACCGGGCAGCTTGCACCACAATTATCTGAATGGAGAAATGACTCTGCACATATTTAGAATTTTTGGGTGAACTTTCTCTGGTTTTGATGAGTGTATACAACAGGCATTGTGTGCATTTTCCTTCTAATCTGTTTGTCCATGTAACAGGAAGTTCAGCTACCGGTCCTACCGAACCAGGCTCTAAGCTTGGACAGCAGCTAGCCAATATTCTGTTCAGCCAGGCCGAAACATTTCTGCAGCAGGTAACTGGCCAATTAAATCTTTAGAGATGAGAATGATCCGATTTGCTGGCTGGTAATAATGGTCATTTAGGAAATTAATCAATGATAAACCTTTTGATTTTTCATTCAGCTGCAGACGTTTGAGGATCTCCTTAAAAGCAAAAAACTTCAACCTTTTGAACAAACTGAGGTAAGAGCAACAAAAGCACAGCAGAATTCTCTAGGTTTTGGGGTTTTTTTTTAATAAATTTTATTTTCAGTCACAGCAGCATGTTAATAACAAAACATTGAACATACAGTAGTTTGCGGTTCAGTATTTACAATACCCCAAAAGATAACAGAAATAGAGAAGGAAAACGAACAAACAAACCAAAGAAACCCCTACAAAACAAAAAAACAAACAAACAAACAACAACAAACAAATATAAAAATAAAATGTATAAGGGACATTCGGTGTACAGTTAACTATGATAGTGATATAGAGATATGGCATCCGGTCGTGATAAGGTGGTCCTTTTAAATGTTTCCATGTACATCAGGAATGGCTGCCATGCCTTAAGAAATTTGGTGGTTGAACCTGCCAGTGTATATCTCATCTTTTCTAAATGTAAAAACCTCATGAGCTCTGTAAGCCACTGTTCATGTGTGGGAGGAGCTTCCTGCTTCCATCTTAAAAGTATAAGGCGCCTTGCGATAAGTGAAGCAAAGGCAATAGAATTCGAATAGTATTTTGGCAAAGTGATGTCTTGAGGTATCACCCCAAAGATAGCCGTTAGAGCGGAAGGATCATATTTAACTTTATACATCTCTGACAGAGCGTTAAATATAGACACCCAATAGTTATGAAGATTGGGGCATGTCCAAAAGATATGAAGGAGCGAACCTGTTTCTGCTTTACATCTGTTACACAGAGGGTCAGCTCCTGGATAGAACTTGGCTAACTTTTCCTTGGAGATATGTAATCGGTG